ACCTCAGGTTTACACTGCCAAAATGCAGGATAGCAATGTATTACAATCAGTCCGAAGTCAAAGAATCACACATTTCTGTCTTTCATGGTATTTGTCCATTTTATCTAAGTTGTTGCATTTATTGCCATAACCCACTTCCGGTAAGTCAATTCCGACCCACAGCGACCCCCATTGGGTTTCCAAGGCAGTTAAATCTTTATGGAAGTAGATTACCCCATCTTCCTCCTACGGAGCGGATGATGGGTTTGAATCACCAATCTTCTTCTTTGCTGTCAAATGCCTTAGGCACTGTGCTACCAGAGCTCCTTTATTGGCATAAAGCTGTTCATAATATTCCCTTCTTCTCTTTTTATGGTTTGTGTCTTCTTTCTTTGTTATCCTAACTACTGTGGCTATAGATTTGTTAATTAATCCATTTTCTGAAAGAACCACTTTAGTTATACTATTTTTCCTCTATTGTTATTTTTTAATTCATTGATTTCTGCTTTTATCTTTAGTATACCCTTTCGTTTGGTTGGTTTGCATTTAATTTGTTCTTCTTTTTCTAATTTCTTAATGTGGAACCTTAGAGGGTTGATTTGAAACTTTTCTTCTTTCTTAATCTGATCATTTAATGTTATAAATTTCCCTTTGAGCACAGCTCTGTAGTGCAGTGAATTGCCTAACGTGGCCCATCTAGCTATGGTCTTTGTAATTCCCACCAAATGACTTGGTGGTACTATGCAAATGTGAAGGGCTTATGGCCCACCAGGGGCACTGCATAGCTTAGTAATTATATAAATAAGGTACACAGCATACTTGTGGGGGCAGGACCATGCAAATATGATGTATGGTCAGTTTTGTCATCCTGCTAGGCTTAAAATGAGTCATCTTAGAGGTGGGAAAGGAGGACCTGACTACCACAAAGAAGAAGAGACGGGAATGTGGTACATCCTCTGAACCTGGGGTCCTTCCTCTGGCAACTTCTTTGACCCTTCTTCTTTGAGAGCTGTAACACTGGAAAGAAGGTGAGAGACAGAGAAGTGGCAGCAACAGAAATAGGAGATTGGCAGGAGACAGTGCGATGTACTTGCTGGCAGAGTAGGGTGCCTCTGGGCACCTGATGAAGCTGACCCATACAGCCAGAGCTGAGCACCTTTGGGCCAGGCCTGCTGGTGAAGGGGGGTGCATCCAGGAACTTTTGACAGAATGAAAAGAGCTCTGCAACACTTGCCTGAGCAGCGCAGAGGCCAGGCCGAGGGACGGCAGGGCCAAGGCACAGAGACAGACCTGCCTGTGGGCATGGCTGAGAAGAGGCTCCCTTGATTCTGATCCTGAATTGTAACTTGTTACTTCCCTGATAAACCCCATTATCATGAATAGGTTCTGTGTGTCCACTGCAATGAATTATCAAACCCAGCAGAGAAGCAGAGTACCTTGGTAGGGATGGTTGTTGTCAGAATTGGTAAAAAGGTTGGAGGATGGAAGCGTGTCTGACCTCCGCCTTATAGGAATCAGCCTTGGGTTGTTCATCTTGATCCTTCTCCCCCCTTGTGAAGTTAGAGGAAGTCAGATGCCGCCACCCCCATGCCATTTTTATAAGCATCATCCCACAAATTTTGATATATTGCATTTCCATTTAGTTCAAAATGTTCCCTGTTTTCCTCTTTCACCACCTGTGGATTATTTAGAAGTGTATTTGATTTTCCAATATTCAGGGATTTTCCAGATGGCTTTATATTATTATTTTCTAATTTAATTCCACTGTGATCAAAGAAAATCATTTGCATAATTTCAATTATTTAAAATTTGTTTAACAGCCCAGAATGGGTTTATCTTAATGAATGTTTTGCTATTAAAGACTGAAGTGCTTCATAAATGTCAATAAAGTCAAGTTGATTGATAGTGTTTTTCAAGTATTCTAGCTCCTTACTGATTTTCTGTCTACTTTTTATTAATTATTGAGATAAAGGGGTGTTGGAATCTCCAATTATTATTTTGGATTTGTCTATTCTGTTTCATCAGTTTTTGCTTTATGTACTTTCAAGCTCTATTTTAGCTGCTATACATTTTAAATTGTTTTGTCCTTTTGGTAAATTAAAGGAGCTCTGGTGGTGTAGTGAAGGCATTTGGCTGCTAACCAAAAGGTTGGTGGTTTGAACACACCAGCTGCTCTATGGAAGAAAGAGGAGGTGATCTGTTTCCATAAAGATTTATAGCTCTGGAAACCCAATCGGGTTGCTATGAGTCAGAAGCGACTTAATGGCAGTGAGTTTGGTTTTTGGTTTTGAAAAATCAACCCATTTATCATTATGAAATGTCCCTCTTCTGTCTCCAAAAATATTCCTTGATCTAAAATCTGTTAACCATTCCAGCTTTCTTTTGATTAGTGTTAGCATTACATCTTTTTCATCCTTTAACTGTTATCTGTGTATTTCCTTTTAAAAGTAGGTTTCTTACAGTTTTTAAAAATCCAATCTAACAATCTCTGCCTTGTAATTAGAATATATAAACCATTTATATTTAATGAGATACCAATATGTTGTTGCTGCTGTTAGATGCCATATCAGTTGATGCTGACTCACGGTGACCTTATATACAACAGAACAAACAGTGCCTGGTCAGGCATCACTCTTGTGAATATTGCCATGTCTGAGACCATCACTGTGGCTACTGTGCCAATCCATTTCACTGAGGGTCCTAATACCTTGCTGGCCCTCTACTTCATCAATATTATGTGCTCCTCTAGCAATTCATCCCTCCTGATGACATGTCCAAAGCAAGCAAGCTGGACAATGTTCTACTGTGATGCATGAGATATTGGCTGGCTGATTTTTGGAACTGCCATGCCATTCTTCCTAGACTGTCTTAGTCTGAAAGCTTTGCTAAAACCTGTCCACAATGGCTGGCCCTACAGATATTTGAAACACTAGTGGCATAGCTTCCAGAATCACAGCAACAGCAAGTCACTACAGTATGACAAACTGACAGGTAAGTGGTGAGATATTAATATACCAAAACGAAGCCCACTGTCACTGAGTTGATTCTAACTCCCAGCAACCCTACAGGACAGAATGCATTGCTCCCATAGGGTTTCCAAGGCTGTAAACCTTTACGGAAGCAGGATCCACAGCGTCCTCCTGTGAAGAGGCTGGGGGGTTCACACTGCTAGCTTTTTGGTTAGCAGCTGAGGGCTTTAACCACTGTGCCATCAGGGCTCCTAGATATCGATATACTTGGTTTAAATATTCTAGCTTGCTAATTTTTTCTATTTATCACATCTGTTTTCCTGAAAACTGTACATTTGTATAAGTGAAAAGGATTTTAAAGTTAATCCAATTCAACTACCTCATTTTACAAATAAGGAAACTGAGGTTCAGAAAGTTTCTGTGACATTCTCTAAAGTTTATGTGATAGTTAAGTTTGACCATATAACCAACCAATCAAACAAAAACACAAGCCTCCTGACTCATTAATCCAATGCTTTTTCAATATATCTTGATAGTTTAATTTCCCAGATATCAATGCTACAATGAGATAAATAACCTCAAGGACCTTTTAAAGAACTGATAATGCCAATCCTATAAAATGTAATTTTTTTTCCACCAAAGAGGACATTCAAAGTGGCCAATGTGTGAAAAGATGCTCGTGATTATTAGCAATTAGAGAGACGCAAATCAAAACTACAGGGAGATACCAGCTCACCTCTAGTCTGTTTTAGTCCATCTTAGTGTCAAAAATGGCACTGATTGGGGGGGGGGGGACCAGCAACAAAACGAATGGTGGACCAGTTTTGGGGAGACTAAAACCTGTTCCACTGCTGGTGGGACTGTAAATTGGTTCAATCACTACAAAAAATGGTATGGTGCTTCCTCAAAAAGATAGAAATAGAAATACCCTATGATCCAGCACTCCCACTCCTAGGTATATACCCTGGAGAACTGTAACTACTGACGTGAACAGACATATGCACACCTGTGTTCACTGCAACATTATTCACAATAGCAAAAAGATGGAAACAACCTAAGAGATGAATGAATAAGCAAACTGTGGTACATACACACAGCGGAATAAAGAATGAGTTTTCAAAATATATAATAACAACATGGATGAATCTGGAGAACATTACGCCTCACAGCAATACGCAAGCCACCACAGCATGACAAACTGACAGACACATGGTGGATACACACTATTTGCCTAGATAAGGAGCTCTGGTGGTACAGTGCCTGATGCATCTGACTGCTAACCAAAAGGTTACCATTCAAATCCACAAAAGGACGATGGGGCAATCTACTTTCATAAAGATTTACTGCTGCAGAAACCCAATGGAGATTGCTATGAGTCAGAATCGACGTGGTAGGTATTTGACTATATATTTATATCTCTGAGCAATATACATTGCAATGAACACAAGAAAGTACTAGAATACCTATGTATCTTCATATTTTTCTACTTAAGAAAAAACACTTGTTAAATAATTTTCCAAACTAAACATCCTTTCTTCCATCATTTTAGCATTTTCGCAAGTTATCAGAGTCACTTCAAAACTCTGTATGAAATGAAAAAGGCAAGAGCATCTAATAGAAGAGGGAAGAAACATGGGTCTAGCAAGAAAGCTCCAACTGACATACGTCTGCATGGAATATACTTGTCCAGAGATTTCTGAAAGAAATATACCTGGGTAACTAAGTTTAAAAGGAGCCCTGGTAGGGCAGTGGTTGAGCACCCATCTGCTGAGAGGTTGATGGCTCAAAGCCACCAGCTGCTCTACTGAAGAAAGACACAGCAGTCTACTTCTGTAAAGATTACAGCCTTGAAAGTGCTACGGGGCAATTCTACTCTATCCTATAGGGTCACTACTAGGGGTTTGAGGACAGCAGGCTTTTTGGGTTGTTTTGGTTTAAACAAAGTTCAGTTAGTCTCAAGTTTACAATAGTTTATGCCTTCCTCTGAATGTGTTTCAAAACAAAATAAGATATGCACAAGGGAGTTTTCATAAATGACAGATTAAGTCTTACTTTGCCAACAAGAGCAGGAATGTTCATTGAATTGGTTGCAAATCCCATGCCATATGTCATAGCAGCTTCTACTCCCAAGAAACTTGCCACAAGCTTCTCTAGCTCTTCATGCTTGTCCAGGTTTCCTGTGTGAAGAAGTTAACAAAATTAACACCACAAATACCAAATATAAGAATTACTCATCACTTTATAAAGAAATTATAATCTACATGTTATGACCTTTATGGACTAAGGACCAGGAAGGACCGGGTATTATGAAGAGGGAGGGTCACAAAGAATGTAATAGTTCAGATTTAAATTCAGATTCAGCACCGATGGTAGAATTTTTGCAAAAATGGTCATCAACAATTTCTCCCATGGCTGTTTGCTTTGACTTGACTGCTGTCAGGTGGTGGTATCCACTGCCTGTCCCACAAATCTGGGCTGGCTTTGTGACATGCTCCGACCCACAAGATGAAGCATCAGTGATGCTGTCTGTACCAGTTCTCAATCTAGGCCCTGAGAGGCCTGGCAACACCTGCTTTCATCCTTTTGATGTCAGCTGCTATGCAAAGCAGTGTAACTAGTCTCTTGGGGAAAAAAAACCCTACACACAGAGAGGGTCTCTGGAGGAGAGAGAGATGTCCAGTTAACCTAACAACCATTCCTGCCGCCATGTGACAGAAGCCATCTTGAATCCTCCATTCTCAGCCATACCACTCCAGCAAACACCATATGGAGCTGAGATGAACATTACATCCTTCACAACTTACAAAATCATGAGCAAATAAAGGTCTGTTCTTGTTTTAACCCACAAGGTTTTATTATACAGCAAAAGACAGGCCTAATAGCACCTTCCCCCACTATGATCTGACTGGTAAGTTTGTATCATGTTTTTACATTGGCACTCAAATCCTTACGGAATGAATGACACTGATCAATGAAAATGGCAAAATGAAGAGAGGAAAGATGCTTAGATAAAAGAACTGCTGAACTTGGATGCTATTTGTCCTTAAGGCTTAAGCCAAGTCACTGAAATTCTCTGGGTCACTGTTTCATTTTTTTTTTTTTAATCTGCTAAATACTACTAATAGGAGCTCTGGTAGCATAGTGGCAAAGACACTTGCCTGCTAACCAGACAGCTGGTGGTTCAAACCCACCAGCGACTCCTCGGAAGGAAGGTTGGGCAATCCTACTTCCGTAGTGATACTGCCTCGGAAACCCAAGGAGGGGTCGCTATGAGTCGGGGCTGACTCGACGGCACATAACAACAACAACAACAAATACTACTAATAGTATTTATGCTATCTACCTCATGATTTGTGAGGATCAAAAGAGATAATAAATACAAACACTACATAAAGTGCCATAAAGATGTAAGGGATGACCTCTGTATGTTGTAACAATGTTCCCTTAACCACATCATTGGTCTAATGGCCTTGTGATTTCTGAAGTGTCAATGCTAGAGACTTTCAGTTTTAAAGACAGGGAGTTAAAATGTTCTAGTTGTACTTCCCAGTTGAATTAAAAATCATCACAAAACTAGAAGAACAAGAAATAAAAAAAACTCCATTTCTGATTAATTAGTAGATACCTGTAAACCCAACACAATTAATGAAATGGAAAATATCAATAAAAATAGGAAACAGATGATCTCCTCTGAACTCACAGAAGACGACTGAAGAACAAGCTCTCCCAGTATAAGGGAGTATATTTTTTTTTTAAAAAAAGAGGAAGAGATGGGATGCAGGAAATAAAGAATCCAAAACAGAGGAGGGAAAGAAAATTCGCAAGCTGAAACTCAGACCTCACCCCCACAAAAAAAAAAAAAGTGCTAGAATTCAGCTACAGAGCAGTCCTAGTGGGCAAATTAAAGCAGAAGGCAGGATGGAATTACATTAAAGAAATACAATAACAGTACCCAGCAGACAACATTTAAAAAGATTTCAAGATTCCTTCTTCTAGAAGATGCCTAATGGATGGTAGCCAAGAGTTAAAGAAGGGGCAAAGACCCAGCCTAAGCTCCTCTACAGCATTAAATTTGTGAGTGATCAAAAGAATAAAAACCTCCACCTTGTACCTTGCAAAGTATATTCAAATTTTTAAAAGCTTTTGACTATTTAGATTTAGAACTTGCATACCACACACGTACATTAAAAATTAAGCCAAAATTAAAACTTACTTTTAATCTTTAAAAATAAATATAACCTAGGACATTGTGGTAAAATGGTGGAATAGGGAGACAAGCTACACAGACCCCCTTCAACAAAGAAAAGGGAAACCAATTGACAAGAGATACTGAAGATAATCCTGGAGCCCTGAGCTTTGAAAGGAAGTATATAGAAGTGGATTAGGCATCAACTACTGGAAAAACCTGAATGAAAACAGGACCTAAGAATAGGCTCCATTTGCCAAGGCTGACAGGGACATACATGAGGCAGACAACAGGAAAGGAAAAAGGTGGTAAGTGTATAAGTGCTGCCAACTAGTGAGGAGAGGAACATAACACAGTACCCTGCCTGCGTAAGTAACATACAAACAAAAGAAAGAAAATGAAAATTGCATACAAGTCACTCCCACATGCAATCACCATTAAATATAAACACAAAAACATCACAATGCCTTGGAGACAACAGAGCATCACTGTCCACACAAAGAAGAAAGACAAAGCAGAAGAAACAAGGGACCAGGATACAGACCCAAAATACATCCCTGAGGAAGATGCAGCATTGGAAATCCCTGATAAGGATTCCACAAGGCTTAAAATGAACCATCCCAGGGGCAGAAAGGGGGATCTCACTGCCATCAAGACAGAAGAAGCATGAGTAGAGTGCATCCTTGGACCCAAGATCCCTACACTGGACCTCCTTGGCTGTGAGATGGCAGAGAGATGGAGGTAGAGAGGCAATAGAACCAAGAAACCAGCATGGGATGGAATACCGGGCTTGCCAGCTCATTGAGAGAGAAAGCTCCTCCTTTAGGCAGTAGGCAGCTGTCAGCTACAAGAGCTAAAAAGAGCTTTGTAACAGTTGGCCTGAGGATGAGGACCAAAGAGAAGCATGTCTCAGGGTATGTTTGTGGGGTGGCTGTCCTAACTGCAGAACTGTATCCTGAGCATCCCAGAACCTAATAAACCCCATAATCATTGAAAAAATAGAGTAATCGGGAGCGGGGCAAGATGGCGGACTAGGCAGAAGGATTGCACAGACCCTCTTCAACAAAGAAAAGGGAAACCAATAAATACAGACACAGAAGATAATCTTGGATCCCTGAGCCTTGAAGGAAAGGATGCAGATTTGGACTAAACCACAACTAGCAGAAGAATTTGCGTGAAAATACCAAAAAAA